CTGTGGCTTGGCCCTGCCGGCCGCTCCCGACGGGGCGCGGGCGCGTCTGCGCTTTGTCTCCCCCTTGGGTTCCTGTTTCAGGGCCACAGGGTCGTCCCGGCGCGGGTGGTCACTACTGCCGGCCCCGGCTGGCTCCGACTCGGTTGCCAGACTTCGGGGGCCACCGGGACACTGTGAGGCGCTCCCAGCAGTGGGGGGGGGAGGGTGGGGGGGTGGGCACCATGGCCCGTCTGCCCAGGGCAGGCCCCACGCACGGCCCATAGCGTTTCTGGGGACGTCGCCGGCCTGGGGAAGAGCAAATGATGCTCAGGGTGGCGTGAGGGCCTCTCGTGGAGCCGGCGAGTCCCGCCAGCAAGCCACGAGCCCAGAGAACCACGAGGACCTGCTCGGCCGCCTCCCGTGGCCGCTTCCTGCTGAGCCAGCTGGGCGTGCCGGTGGCCTGGTGGCCTGTGGTGGCCACACCAGTCCATGACGCGGGAGCCCCGCGCAGCTGGCCGTACAGCAGAGGCCCGGGCGGCGCCTGGGGAGCTGTCCAGCAGCCAGGAAGCCCTGCCGGCCCCTCAGCAGGGGGGATGGCCACCGGGCCTTTCTCCAAAGTGCCCTGCCCTCCCCGCCCTGGCGTCTGCACCGCCCACTCACCGCCACCCCCTTCCCAATCGCTGCAGGCGCCGGGGTCGGACTGAGCGAGGCCCTCGCCCGCCCGCCGTGGGCATGGAGCAGGAATCCTTCAGCCCGAGCCCGGAGCTGAGCTCCGGCCCGGCCCCGGACCGCTGCTCGGCCTGCCATGGGGACGAGGACTGGGGCCGGGGCCGCCCCAAGGCCCGCAGCCTGTCGGCCGGCACCAAGGAGTTCAGGTAGGCGATGGCCGCTGGAGCCTGGGTGTGGGCGGGGCTTCAGGTGCCGGCCCGCGGTCAGGGGCGGGGCCAGCTCTGCAGCGCGGCTGTTGGGCAAGCACGGCCTGGGCTGTGCAGCCGGCGGCTTGCACAAGGCTCTGGGGCCCGGGCAGCGGGCGCGGCTGAGCGCGGGGAGCCGAGCGCCTCCGAGGCCGATGTCCGGTCTGGCACAGCGGCTGTGGGTGAGTGGTGGCGCTCGGCGGGGGGAGCCTGGCCCCGCAGGTGGGCGTCCGGTCGGAGCTCTGGCCTCGGCCAGGCCTGGCCTCTGCCTGGGGCCACTGTCCTGCGCGAGCCTAGGCTGGCAGAGGCTCCTGAGAGCAGAGGTCGCACCGGCAGCCATCGGGCCCAGGCGGCCAGCACGGCCACTCCAGGGCGGAGGACATTTCCTGCCTTCGTGGGAGGCAACGGCCGTGGGGGCGGCAGCTGCCCGTTTGGGGGCCGCCTGGACTGGCCTCCGGATGTCCTTTGCTGGGCACCTGCCTAGGGGGGCCCTGTGGCAGGCCACTCTGGCGCTGGCCAGGCCGCGCGTCCCACCCGGGCCCCAGGCCTCAGCTCCCGAGGGGCCTTGTGGGGCCACACCTGCCCTGGTCTGGAGGGCGTGCTGGGGCGTCTCACGGACCTGGGTGCCGGCACAGCCACCGCGACCGTTCCAGCCTGGGGCAGGGTCCCGTGTTCTGGGGCCGTGTGGACGCAGGTGTCATTCGGGCCAAAATGCTGAGCGGCTCCCCGGGCCTGGGTTCCCGGTGTGTGCCTGCACTGACCTGCCCTCTGCCCGCAGGAGGACCCGCTCTCTGCACGGACCCTGCCCGGTGACCACATTCGGACCAAAGGCTTGTGTGCTGCAGAACCCCCAGACCATCATGTGAGCGTGGGCGGCGGGGGCGGCCAGGGCTGCCACAGCCTCACGGTCAGGGGCCTTGGCCAGGGCCACTCAGGGGTGTCTGGGAAGAAGCCGCTGCGCCCCACTGCAGCTCAGCGCGTAGCCAGGTCCTTCTCTCCGGTCTCTGGAGATGACCGTCTGGGACGCGGTGCCCCCGCCCCCGTCCCAGGCCCTGTACGTCTGCCCCAGCCCTGGTGCCAGCCAGCACGCTGGTGCGAGAGGGCTCAGGCCGCCTGGGGCCCCTCCGGGGCCGGCTGGCTTGGTGTGGGCGTCATCGGGGGCAGAGCCCCCGGCACCTCAGCTAGTGGGGCTTTATGGGCCGGCCCTGGTGTCCCCCTGGGTCAGTGACACGTGAGCGGCCAGGCCCATCGCCCGGTGTCCAGGCCGCACATCCTGCAGGGCCCACAGGTCTCTGGGCGGACGGCCCCTGGGGTGGCCGCGGGTCGCGACGGGAGAGGCTTCGAGGTCAGCCCTCTGTGGCTGGATGTCCACTGACTCAGCCACCGCTGCCTCCCCGGCTCACGGCCAAGCAGGGAGCCACGTGAGGCCTCCGCCTGACGGCCGTGCGGACCGGTTCCACAGCCCCGTGTGGCTCTGTCCTGAGGGCCATAGGCGTCTCGGGCGCCTCTCACGGCTGCGCTGCCCCGAGAGCCATCCTGCGGCCAGCGGGCCAGGAGGCAAAAGGCCACGTGGGTGGCGTGGGCGGGTGCGGTCTGCCAGGCGCCTGCCCCGGACGCCCTCGGGCGCGGCTGCTCCTGCGCCTCTCCACCCTCCGCGTGGCCATCTGCTGCTGGACCTGGAGCGGGCGCCGACCCGGCTCAGGTGGCCCCTGTGTCCCTGCACATGAAGAAGGCTGGCGGTCAGCCTGCCCCAGCAGGCTCGGCTGGACAGCAGCCACTCGCGCGGCTTCCCTGGCTGGACGTCCCCTGAGGCCGCTGTCCCCCCAGGCACATCCAGGACCCCGCGAGCCAGCGGCTCACGTGGAGCAAGGCCCCGAAGAGCGTCCTGGTCATCAAGAAGATCCGGGACGCCAGCCTGGTGCAGCCCTTCAAGGAGCTGTGCGCGTTCCTCATGGAGGTGTGTGGCCTGACGGGGTGCTGGGGCCGCCTGCGGGGCGGGGCTGACCGCGGCCCTTGCAGGAGGCCGACATGGTCGTGTACGTGGAGAAGAAGGTGCTCGAGGACCCCGCCGTAGCGGGCGACGAGGACTTCGGGCCCGTCAGGAGGAAGTTCTGCACCTTCAGGGAAGGCAAGTGCCCGGCGCCTGCCCCCGGCGGGCCCCACCCCCGTCGCCCGCACCGCCCCTGCGTGGGGGGCGGCTGGCCCTGCTGCCCCCAGCCGCGCCCCGCCCCCGGCGGGCCCCACCCCCGTCGCCCGCACCGCCCCTGCGTGGGGCCCGGCTGGCCCTGCTGCCCCCAGCCGCGCCCGCCTCTGGTGCCACGGCGTCGCGCATGCTTCCCCGCAGACTACGACGACATCTCTGACCAGATCGACTTCATCATCTGCCTGGGCGGGGACGGCACCTTGCTCTACGCCTCCTCCCTCTTCCAGGTGAGCCTGCTGGCCGCGCCGCGCGCTCCTCGCTGCCCTCTTCGCGGCTTGGGTGGGGCTGGGGGCGACAGCGAGTCAGGAGCCGCAGGCGCCTGGTGGCCGGCAGGTGCTCACGCAGGCCCTGGTGTCACATGTCACCTGCGGGCCTCGCCCTCGCCTGGCGGGTCCCGGGCGGCCAGGAGGTGCGGAGGGGGGGTGCGCTGGGCTGACCCCTCCTGCCAGGCCCCGGTCCTGCCCCCGAGCTCCAGGGGTGGGGGTCTCGCTGCCTTCCCAGAACCTTCACCTCTGGGGCAGCACCTGCCTGTCGGGCGGGGCTGGGGGCTGGTGCTCGGCCTGGGGCTGCCCTGAGCGCTGTCCCCTGCAGGGCAGCGTGCCGCCGGTCATGGCCTTCCACCTGGGCTCCCTGGGCTTCCTCACGCCCTTCAGCTTTGAGAGCTTCCGGGCCCAGGTCGCGCAGGTGATACAGGGTGAGCCGGGCCCCGGGCGCGGAGCACCTGCCGGGCACCCAGGGGCCGGCGCCTCCCACCGTCCCGAGGCGCCGGCCGGCCGCGGGGGGCCCGTCTGGGTGGGGCACGGGAGCGGCCCCGACCCTGGGCACTGCGGTCTGTCCGGCCAGGCCCTGCGGGGGGCCCTGCCCACTGACCCCGCTGGCCCCGCGCCCAGGGAACGCAGCCATCGTCCTGCGGAGCCGCCTGCTGGTGCGGGTGGTGAAGGAGCCGCGTGGGAGGAGGGCGGCCGTCCCCAACGGCCTCCGTGAGCACGGGGCCCCCGCGGCCGGCCCGCACGCCGAGCTGGGGAGGCAGGTCATGCAGTATCAGGTGCGTCCTGGAGTGGACGGGCCCGTGGCGGGGCCCCGGGGGCCCCGGGAGCAGGAGCCGAGCGCGGTGCTGGCCTGTGTCCCCAGGTCTTGAACGAGGTGGTGATCGACAGGGGTCCCTCCTCCTACCTGTCCAACGTGGACGTCTACCTGGACGGGCACCTCATAACCACCGTGCAGGGCGACGGTAGGCGGGCGCGGGGCCGGCGGGCGCCCCAGGGCGGCGGCGGGCCGGAGGAGTGACCCCTGCCGCCCACAGGCGTGATCGTCTCCACCCCCACGGGCAGCACGGCCTACGCGGCCGCCGCCGGAGCCTCCATGATCCACCCCAACGTGCCGGCCATCATGATCACGCCCATCTGTCCTCACTCGCTGTCCTTCCGGCCCATTGTGGTCCCGGCGGGCGTCGAGCTGAAGGTCAGAGCCCAGCCCTCCTGCCCAGCCTCCAGCCTCTGGCGAGCGAGCTGGCCGGCCCGGGGCCTGCTGGGGCGGAGGGCGGAGTGGCCCCACCTGAGCCGTGTGGGCTGGACCCCGGCTCAATCTTCCGGCCACAGCGCGTGCCGAGCCCCCCCCGCCCCCCCGGGTCTGCAGCGGCCTCAGCCTCCAGCCTGGCCGCCAGGCCCCATGGAGGGGCTGAGCCGACTCAGGACCCGCCCCCACCCCGTCGGCCCCCCAGATCTCACTGTCGCCGGAGGCCAGGAACACGGCCTGGGTGTCCTTTGACGGCCGGAAGCGGCAGGAGATGCGCCACGGGGACAGGTGAGTGGCCTGGGCGCCGTCGGGGTGGGGCGGGCGCGGGGCTGCCGGGGCTGACCGCCCGCCCCCCGCAGCATCAGCATCACCACCTCCTGCTACCCGCTGCCGTCCGTCTGCGTGCGTGGGCCCGTCCGCGACTGGTTCGAGAGCCTGGCCCAGTGCCTGCACTGGAACGCGCGTCGCCGGCAGGCGCCCTTCCCGGCGCGGGCCGCGGCCGGCGGCGAGGAGGGCTAGCCGCCGGCTCACGTGGGCCTCGGAGTTCGGGTCGGCTCGGGCCCTCGCGCCTTCGGTCTAAAGACGCCTCGCAGCCAAAGCGCGCCTCGGGGCCCCGCCCCAGCTCCCGCCGCCATTCCGCATGCCCGAGGGGATTTCTGGCTCTGTCCGACTCGGAGGTTCTCCTACACTCTGACTGCAGACCTCACGCTCGCTCGCGTTGCAGGCGGGGCGGGCGCCCCGCGGGCTGGGACCAGGAGGGCTGTCCTGGGCGGCGCTCGGCCGGCGGGGCGCTGTGGGGCGGCCCTGGGCCCGGGGAGCCGGCTCTGCCCGCCCGCGCTCCGACCGCCTGTGACTCCCGGCCACTCTGAGAAGACCCGGTGGTGCTGACCAGGCCCTGGGCAGCATGATGGTGGAATGGTCTACACGACAGCTTTTTCAAGTAAATTCTTACTGTTTCATATTGTTAATATCTTGAAAATTTGTTATCTGTTGAAAACTTATCACTATTTTCAGATTCTTTCAATAAACAGAATTGTTTTAATCTCCGGGTCGAGTGGCAGCCTTACCTGGTGTCCGTAACCGGGTGGTCGGCGGGGCCCCGGAGGTGGCCTGCTGTGGGTGAACCCCGACCCCCAGCACACCTGGCCGGGACATCCACACCCACGGACCCCAGGGCCCACAGCTGGGTGTCGGGGCAGGGGCCTGAGGACCTCGCCCCCCGGCGCCCCCAGCTCTGCGGAGGCTGGCTTCTTGGGGACTGCCTCCCAGTCTCCCCCCAGAGCTGTTTACTAAGGGGCCACGTGGGGCCCAGGCTTGCGGAGGAGCTAAGGCTTAAGCCCCTTCAGAATACAGGGTGTTAACCCCAACTTCTACTTAATGGGGTCAGTCGAAGGAAGAAGCTGTAAGTGGGGCGTTTACCAGAGTTAGGGTGACAAAGGGGTGCCTTTGTACCCCTGAGACAGGGTAGGGCCCCTACATCATTTCAAAACCGAAAAGGCACCGCCCCAGATGGTAGGGGGAGCGTTGGCCTCCAGAGCCCGGAGGGGAGGGGCATGCACGTTGGCTGTGGAAAGTATTTGGCTCCAAAGAGCTCACGGGGACAAGGGGCGGGCTCGGGCCCTCGAGGGCCTCCAGCCGGGCCCAGGGACAGGCCAGCAGCCACGCTGGCTCCGCCGCCGCCAGCACGTTCAGCCCCAGGCGACTGGCCACTGCTGGGCGCGCCCTCGGGCCTCGGGCCCAGCCCCTCTGGACAGTGCCAGGCACACAGCGCTGTGTGCCCACCTCTCCGGTCAGCGCCCGCGGGGGATGCCATTTGAGAGGACGCGAAGGTCAAACGGTCAAACCCGAAGCAGCACAAACGCCGCAAGGAGGGGCTCGAGGAGCCGCTTCTCCGGGAGCTCGGCCGGGTGCGCGGCGGGAGGGGCGCGTGGACCCGGCGGGCCGCAGGTGCAGCCCGGGG